GCATGCCGAAGAGGAGGTCCATCAGAAAAAGGATAATGTCACTTGAAAGAATGCCAAACGGAGAATGGGCTCTCTGGACAACCCCAGATAGAGTCGCGGCAGGGATCGAATCTATCTTTCGACCAAACGACTCCTTTGGACAAGGTCACAGAATTTATCCAGGGTGTGCTAAAAAGGACACTAGGTTGCGCCTGTGCTGGCGCCGGTTTGCGGTCAAATGGCAAGGTCAACTCTGTCAAAAGCTCTCAGGAATCTGCGTCCTGCATTCTGCAGACCCAATTGGTCGCTGCAATCGGGGTAGCACACTACCCTCTTGAGAACTGACAGCCGAAACCTTTTGAAATGGGGCTTACGGGCTTACCCTTCCTCCCACTAAAATGGAACCCGGTGTACCTGTTTCCCCCTCAAAAAGGCCCCCGGTCAGGTGTCAGGCGCCATGTCAGCTTTCCGGAAATTCTAAATCTGGCATGGGTCGTTGCCCATACTCACCGCGGGGCTGCTCCCTGCAGCCTGTTCTTGACCCTGGATTCATCACACAGGGCACTAGACGGGTTGACAAACAGGGCAGCACCCTGTGAACCCGCCAGGTTGACGGATCCGGGATCAACATCAGTGCACATCACCTCCTCGCTTCCCGAGTGGATTGGCATGAATAGGTCTGACATTTGTGCTCACCAGGCTATCAAAAATGGTCCGGACCCACAAGTATGAGGTCCACAAACCAACAAGCCACCACCACTGGACCAAAAAGCACAAAGTCCACAGACCGGGAAAGGAAACCAGCTTGATGAATCCGAGATCGCCAGTTCACGCACTTCACTAGTACGGGGACAGCAGTTCTGCCCGTTGGCATGCGCCCTCGTCCAGCAGTCTGCGCGGATATTCCTCAGCCCAATGGCTTTCCACGCGAAAGGGCCCCTCGTATTTTGGTTGATGGTTGCTTTAAGTGAAAACCCTTGCCCAAACAATTATGCCACATGTGCAATGAAAAATAGTAGGCCAAAAACAAGATGTTTGCAGATTGTTTTCGGAGTAAAGAGACAGGGGTCGCGTCCACTAAGGTTGCAACTTGCTCAATAACTCGTTCCAGTGAAAGTTGTAGTTGAGGTCCGCAAAAAAAAGAAGGAATGGAGACCTGGAAGAGGAAACAAAACACAAAATAATCCAATGGATGCAGGGATTCCGCGCGCAAAAGCACGAGTGATAGCAGCGCCACGACGCAGGTGCCCGCCATCATTAGGGAGTCGTAGGAGGAGGGCAGCAGTGGGAAGATCCATAGCAGCACGAAGCCTGGGTGCTAAAAAGGTCTTGGAATGAAACGATGTTCCATCCCGAGTGGTTGTTAGCACATGGACAGAAAACACACAGCAACCAAATCAGCATCGAACCCCAACAGGATCCCCTGAAAGAAGATTTGTGCAAGGTGAGTGATAGTATTGGGGGTCTGCCAAAACACATGGTAAAGAACAAGACAAACAGGACGTCTTGAAACATCTCCATCCCCTCTTGGTTTCATTCTGGTAAATGGGAAAAGAACCAAATAAGCAAATCTATCTATATCTTCCAAGACCCTGAAAAAAACAGGTCTTTGGCTGATTCTCCATTTCAAAGCAAGAGGAACATAAAACAAGCTGCGGCCATTTTCAGGGTCCTTGGAAGACCAAGCAATCCAAGATAGCAGCTCAGGAAATTCTTGGCCAATTTCCTGTTGAAATCCCTGCTGGCTTCCATGGAGGAAACAACAGCCACTGAACAAAGAGACAGCAAGACACAAAGCAACCACTGCAAGAACAAGAAGCACCAGTCCAAAAACACCAAAGAAAACCAGTTGGGACGTCAATCGGATGAGACCCCCCAAACGCATCTAAAACCCGACGCTCAGGCGCCCCAAAGGTTCAGGAGCCAGCTGAACACGGCACCGGTGACTCCCTCGGAGTAGGGATACAGCCTGAGGAAGCCGAGCGCTGGTGTGGTGGAGTGGAGTGGACCTTCTTATTTTTTCAAATTTGTGGTTCTTCGGCGCAAGGGTAGCTGCCTTTTTTTTTTTGGGGGGGGGGGGTGAGGAAGTGGGCGGGGAAGGTAAATGTTGTTCTTTGAGCATAAAATGGGAAGTCCAAGTCTTTTGAGGGAAAAAGGGGACTTCCTCTTCAAACGGCCGGTGTGGTTTGAAGTGGGCAAAAGTTTTCGGGGAGGTTCCGGGCAGGTCCTGGGGTTGCTGTTGGGGACTTCACTTGGAGTTAAATCCTTTTACCTGGCGGAGCATCAAACCGGGGTGCCCGCTGTGTCCGGGGTGTATTAAATCGAAACCAAAGGAAACCAAAGCCCATTTTGGGAGTTCCCCCCCCCATGAAACAAACCCATATGTGCCAGGGTCAAAATCACTTGTTCCCCAACAGGATATGGCTAAGTCGTGAATTTGGTAAGATTTCCCATGTCCCTCTCGAATGAACCCTATACCAGCAAGTTTGACTAAACCTCATGTGGCATCACTGATCTATTT